ACCCATGGCCACTCACTCAACCCAGGGCACGCTCCGGATCCACATAAAAATGGAACCCAGGGATACCCCCGTTTAAGTAACACCCGTATATGCCCACTCCCTGGCCCACCGTTGCAGATCACCCGCACACCCACTCCACATCAGCAGGGCATCCCCATGCCCGCTCCTGGCCCCTGTCAAAGTGGCACGCACGGGATCCCAGTGTAAACAGTGCTCACAGGTCTGCTCCCGCTACGGAATTTGAGGCGCACGTGTTGTTCTCGTCCATCCTCCCTGGCGAAGGAAAAGATCCAGGTAGGCATTGAAAAATGTTGGAAGTACAACCGGTCCCAGAGTTGTGAACAGTCGACTTATGACCATTCGCGGTTACGACCGAAGCTGTAGTAAATGGTGGATCCTGAGTTACAAGCACGATCTGCGCTTACCAATAGCGCGGTCGTGTGTAACTCTATGGGGTCCGACTTACAAACAAGTTACGACCAATTAGTTGGTCCAAAACCGGTTCATAAGTTGGAGAGAGGCTGTAAATGCATAGTTGTACAGGGGGTGTTGAAGAGAGGGCTTTGGACTCTTCTGCCATGGGATGTTCTTCTGGGCACAAGGATTGCTAGGAAGAGATGGGATCCACCTAACGAAGAGAGGGAAGAACATCTCCGCAGGCAGGCTTGCAAACCTAGTGAGGAGGCTTTAAACTAGGTTCATCGGGGATGGTGACCTAAGCCCGGAAGTAAGTGGGGAAGTGGGATACCGGGAAGAAACACAAGGAGGAAGGTGCACACACTTTTCATGGCTGTGAATTTGGTAGGCCCCTAATTCTAATGTACAGAGACACAACTCTGCGATCTACCATAACAATCACAACGTGGTCTTCCAAGCAATGTGTTGCCAACGGGTTTGTAGATAACATAGTTGGACCATCGCTTCCCAGTCCAGCATACACAGAATATTTTCATAGGGTTTTTTTGACAACCAATAGAGCTGATGCACTGCAGCCAAGTCTGCAACCAGTCCTTCCATAACTGTAGCACAGTTGGCAACTGTGCACTCTATTTGGAGGGTAATTGTATCCCAGCCAGCAGTGGTGGTAAGAGTGTTTGATCAGTCTTGCTTGTTGTCTTCTTCTGTCATATGGTTGCCTGCCCACCTGACCCCTAATACACTTTAAATGTCAACACGCAGCAGGGAGGGATCCCGGTGGTGGTGACCATCAGTGTTGACTTTTAAGCATTTTATTTAGCTTTATATCATTTTAAATGGTGTCATGAGCTTTCGTGGGTATCTGCATGTTTTGTTAGTCTTTAAGATGCTGCTAGACTAATCATTGTTTTTTAAGTTTTTCCAGTTACAGACTAACTCGGCTACCCCTCTGAATCATTTTAAATGTTCATGGTTGTAGGAAATGATACAGGAATAGGGCAGTGGGGTCAGACAATTATTTAATGACAGCAGATGAAATTCAAAAAATTAAAGCTATACAACCATTAAAACACAAGCAGTCAACATCAGCCATCAAGTACAGGGATATCTGCTGGGCACAGCAAGCTGGGAGGAAGCAGCAGATGGCCCTAGTCCCAGCGCATCAGTGTCCTTACCGTTGTCACAGTTTTTACAGGCATCATGGGAAAGGAGAACTTTAAGGGGAGATTTGAAAGAAGATAATGAGGTAGCTCTGTAGACATTTAGCAAAGCAGGAGTGACAACCTGAGAGATAGCGCAACGAGTCTTAGGCTCCCACCTGGAAAATGTCAGACCTGGTTTGAGAGGATCTTACTGTGCGCAGTTTCAGTGCCACAGTTTCAGCACCCCAAAAAATAAGGTCATTAAAATCCAGTGACAATTTGAAGCATTCTGACTAGACTTGTGCAGGACCTGGAATCATAGACGCGGATCACTGGATTCCATGGGTTCTGTGAGGCTGGAAAACTCACCTGCCAATCACAGCTAATCTGTGGTGCTGCCCAACAGACGATTGGTGGCTTGAGGAAGGGCTCAGGAGGATGGAGAGCAGAGGGTCGGCAGGGCCTTGGAGAAAGTGGGGGAGTAGGCAATGGACCTATGGATACAGTGGGTGTATACCACTCCCAGGGCAAAATAAAAATCAGTGCCTGAGCCTGAAAGTTCCATTTTCTGTAAAGGCCTGCAATTTTGAAATTTGCTTTTGTTCCATGTTGGAACACACCATCACATTTTCGTGTTTCCTGTAAAACACATTTTTAAAAAATAAATTTGTTTCAGGTCAGAGGAACACAAAGGTGAATTTAGAGTCAACTATAAAAATAAAATAAATTGCAAAACATTTAGGGCTTGGTTTTTTTTTTGGTTTTTTTTTTTTGCAAACTAATTTTTGTCAAAATTGACATTTCCTGATAATTTCAACAAGATTCTCAACCAGCTCTAATTTCAGCATATCCTTGTGAAGGATGAACTTTGGGAATATAATTGTGTGTAGCAGCAATTCCTAAACTGACAGCAAAAAAAAAACAACAAAAAATTGCTTGCTAATCTGCAGGGTTGAGTGAGTGCTAGCAATATCTCCTGCTCACCTAGACATGCTTCTTTTGGGGTATGAAGCACCTCATAATGGAGGCATAAGAGGGGAATACAGTAGCTTCCTGCGTGGACAGACTATGAATGGGAATGCAGCTCCATTCACTTTCTTCCCATCAGAGAGGAAAATATTCAACTGCTTCCAGCTGGCAGCCAAATTTTGGAAAGGAGCAATGGATCTGTTGAACATAGTGCTCTGGTGCTAGAAACATAGTTTGGTAGAAGAAATCGGACCAACCCTAACCCTAACCCAGAAGATTCCAGCTATAGACAACAGAGAAAAAGTAGGGACCAAAATTGACCACCAATGGCTCGTAAAGCCCAATGCTGGGCAGATGGACCTGCAGGGGCTGGTCAAAACCAGCTGTGGCCAAAAAAGAGCAGCAGGGGCTGGAGGATGCTGAAAGACTCCAAAAGAGAGTGGTAGAGACCATCATAGACCAATACAATCCTACAGAGTCAGTAGAGTCCAGTGAGTGATTAAGGAACAGTAGGCTAAGGATAATGGGATCTACTAGAATTCCCAAGTGTTTCCGATGCAGACGCTGCTATCGAGTGGGCTGTAAGCTGAAGACCGTCCAGTGGCAAAATCCCCTCCATGAGACCATCCTGGCAACTCTCCCACATGCCTTGCCTACCTCTCGGTTCCTTAGGCTATAGACAAGAGGGCTGAGGAGTGGGGTGAACACAGTGTAGAGCAGGGAGAGCGTCTTTCTGAGGTTCAGCCCTGTGTTGGCCCTGGGAGACATGTACATGGCCACCAGCGTCCCGTAGAACAGGGTCACCACAGTGAGGTGGGAGGAGCAAGTTGAGAAGGCTTTGCGCCTCCCTGAAGCAAAAGAGACCCTCAGCAGTGCCCAAGCAATGCACACGTAAGAAGCAACTGTTAGGAGGAAGGGGGAGGCTGGGATGAAGGACAGGAAGAATGTGGCTGTCTGGATCATAGAGGTGTCAGCACAGGAGAGCGCCAGCAGGGGCTGGAAATCGCAGAAGTAGTGGTCTATCTCATGGGGCCCACAGAAGCTCAAGGCCGAGAGCAAGAGTGACACAATCCCCATGAACAGGAACCCTCCCACCCACGCCCCAAACACCAGCTGTCCACAGAACCTGCCACTCATGAGGGAAGGGTAACGGAGCGGGTGGCATACGGCCAAATATCGGTCATAAGACATGGCCGCCAGCAGGAAGCATTCCACGGTAGCCAGGGTGCCGAAGAGATAGAGCTGCATGATGCAGCCGCCCAGGGATATTGTCACAGTGCCTGTCTTGAGACCAGAAAGCATCATGGGGGTGATGTTGGATGTGGAGATCATCTCGAGGCAGGACAGGCTGGAGAGGAAGAAATACATCGGGGTGTGGAGATGCGGGTCCAGGAGCGCCAGCAGCACCAGGAGGAGGTTGGTAGCCATGGATACGATATAGATGGCAAGAAAGCCAGTAAAAAGCAGGATCCCCAGCTCTTTGAGGTCCCCAAATCCCAGAAGGAGGATGTAGGAGATGGAGGTGATGTTTCCAGAGCCTGTCTCCTTCATAGGGAGGATCTGGGAGAAAGAGAGTCAGCAGATAATTATGAAACGATGAAACAAAAAACCTACCCATAAAATAAGAACATAAGAATGGCCATAGTGGGTCAGACCAAAAGTCCATCCAGCCCAGTACCCTATCTGGTGACAGTGGTCAATGCCAGGTGTCCCAGAGGGAGTGAATCAAACAGGTAATGATCAAGCGATCACTCTCCTGCCATCCATCTCCACCCTCTGACAAACAGAGGCTAGGGACACCACTCCTTACCCATCCTGGCTAATAGCCATTAATGGACTTAACCTCCATGAATTTATCTAGTTCTCTTTTAAACCCTGTTATAGTCCTAGCCTTCACAACCTCCTCAGGCAAGGAGTTCCACAGATTGACTATGTGCTGTGTGAAGAAGAACTTCCTTTTATTAGTTTTAAAACTGCTGCCCATTAGTTTCATTTCATAGACCCTAGTTCTTATATTATGAGAACAAGTAAATAACTTTTCCTTGTTCACTTTCTCCATACCACTCATGATTTTATAGACCTCTATCATATCCCCCCTTAGTCTCCTCTTTTCCAAGCTGAAAAGTCCCGGTCTCATATGGGACCCATTCCAAACCCCTCAGCATTTTAGTTTCCCTTCTCTGAACCTTTTCTAATGCCAGTATATCTTTTTTGAGATGAGGAGACCACATCTGTACGCAGTATTCAAGATGTTGGCGTTCCATGAGTCCTGCTCTTGGAATGGAAGATTCCCAGGCACTGCTACTGTCTGTGGATCAACTGGCTAAGCAGTGATTCTGTGACGAAAAAAACATGGGAACGACAGTGGATGATAAGCTGGAAATGAGTCAACTGTGTGCCTTTGCAGCCAAGAAGGCTAAGAGTATTAGGGTGCATTAATAGAGGCATTGCCAGCAGATCTAGAGAAGTGATTATTCCCCTTTATTCGGCACTGGGAAGGCCACATCTGGAGAATTGTGTCCAGTTCTGCCTCCCTTCATCTCACACTACAGAAAGAATGTAGACGTTTTGGAGAGTGTCCAGCAGAGGGCAAAAAAATGATTTGGGGGGCTGGAGCACATAATTTATGAGAAGAGGCTAAGGGATTTGAGGTTGTTGAGTCTGCAAAAGAGAAGAATTGGGGGGGATTGATAGCAGCAAAGAGAATGGAGAGAGTCTGTTCTCAGTAGTGACAGATGACAGAATGAGGAGCGATGGTCTCAAATGTCAGTGTAGGAGGTCTAGGACGTATATTAGGAAAAACTATTTCCCTAGGAGGATGGGGAAGCACTGGGATGGTTCCCTAGGGAGGGGGTGGAATCTCCATCCCTAAGAGTTTTTAAATCCCGGCTTGACAAAGCCCTGGCTGGGATGATTTAGTTGGGATTGGTCCTACTTTTAGCAGGGGATTAGACTCAATGACTTCCTGAAGTCTCTTCCAACGCTGTGATTCTCTGATTCTCTGATTCAGACATTTTCTGTTTAAATTATATCAAAGAAACACTGGGTTTTCAACTCAACACTTCTTCTCTGAAAGTCTGTTCTCTTTGAAAGACAAGCTGTGTAGCGGAAAACTCAAAACATTAATTTTCCTTAATTTAGCTGAAAAAATGCTTCAGTTTCCTTTGGTTTATCAGAAATTCTCTGTTTGCAAATGAACTAACACAAAACCAATAAAGGTTGGCTTTCAGAATTTCGATGGCGAGCCAGCTGTTTTCAGAGAAGAGGAAAAACATCCTGCAAGGAGCTGTAAATGTTTCAGTAATTAAGTATAAAACACTTGCAAGTGCTCCCCTTCTCTCTGACAGTTCCATTATGAAATCTACCCAGGACATAAACATCTGACCCTGTTTGATTGAAATAACAAACTTACCGTGTCGGGCTTTTGGGGATGTTTCCCAGCCTTTGCTGCTCCAGACACTTCACTGCCAGGATTCTGCCGTCATTACCTTCACTGGGTTATCCCGCAGCTGGTTCGTCATTGCCTGTCTGCGTGAATAATTCCCCTTCACTGGGTTATCCCGCAGCTGGTTCCCTGCCCCTCCATTGTATTTTCCCATCTTGGGCTGCCTGAAGGACTAAACAGGATGGAGGCAGAAACCTCCCCACCCCCAGCTGAGAAACTGCTCCCGGCTCGTTCAGGCTGCAAACATGGTCCCGACTCCGGATGTCCCCGGCTCCAGAGCTGAGTAGCTGAACCTGGAATCCAGGGCTGTGAGCCCAGCTCTCATTTCACCCTTCCCTAGCTGAGCTGGACCCCACAGAGGGGAACACGAAGTACCCTGGATCTCACACCACGGCAGCAACGCTAGAAGGAATCGGGATACACAGACAGCAGGGCTGAGGAGATTACAATATAAGCTCTAGATTGGTAGTACAATCACGTGACAGAGAAAAGCCCAGAGCTACCATGCCCCAAAGCCCCAGCGGGTCTGGGACAGCCTGGTCCTTCATTAACCCCACACAAGCCGCTCTGGGAAAGCAGAGATTTTGTGTGTGTGTGTGTCTGGTACCTATGGATGAGGCGTCTCCCACAAAGGCAAGGGGAGGAGACACTATGATTCTCCAAGGTTGAGAGGTTCCCGGTGACCACTCCCCAGGAGAAACAAAGTGGGAAGTGGTTGTTTCTCAGGATGACAGAGGGACTCATCTTCCTGCGTGCCCTGGCTTCCCAGGAGGTTCGTTGCTAGCCAGGGGCCCATATCCAAGATATTAGAGAAGGATTGTTAAGAATCATCTGGCCCTCTCACCAGTACCCCGTGCTGCTCACCCATATGGGCATTAATGACACTGCGAGGTATGACTTTGAACAGATCAGCAGTGACTACTCAGAGGGGGATGGAACTGCGAGCACAGGGCTCCCAGGAGCGTGCCAGGGGCCAGAAGAGATGTGCACCATCCTGGTCTGGGGTGGAGATCCTGGCCCTCGTCAATGTGTGGGGCAAAGAGGAGACCCAGCAGGATCTCTGCTCCAGACAATGCAACACTGACATGTATGGCTGGATGGCTGAGACCCTGTCCGTGAAGGGCCACCAACACCGGATTCTGGAGCAGGTTGGAGTAAGGTCAAGGAGCTCTGGTAGGGGTACACCAGGGCCAGGGAGCACAGCTCTTGCTCCGGGGCAGAACACCACTCCTGCCCCTATTACAAAGAGTTCTACCCCATCCTGGGGTACAGTGCAGCCCCTTCCCTACCCCTGGTGCTGGACTCGGGGCTGGACGACGACAAGCTAGAGGAGGAGGAGATGTCCAGCCCCATCACACTGGAGGACCCCAGGGCCTGGATGTCTCCCAAGCATCCTCCAAGGCCAGGGAGGGATCAACAGTGCATTTAGCTTTTCACACACACAGGATGAAGGGGGCGGGTGCTGAGGGGCTGGGGTGCGATTGTCGCTCGGCCTTCTCAGACTGGCCCTCACGCTGCACTCCGTGCACGCGGATGCACGTGCGGCACCGGTGTGTGCCACGCAGCCCCAGGAGGCAGCCCTCAGGTTCCTGATCACAGGCTGTAGGGAGGCCACCCACACTTCTGACCCCCCACCAGCCACTGCTGGAAGCAGGCTGCGGACAAGGGCACACGGCCGCCAGCACACAAACTGCGGAGTGCCGCACGCGGGCATGCCTGCCTGCTCGAGGCACCACCCACTCCTGGAAAAGCCTATTCTGAATGAAGCAGCCTACACACACTGCTGCACAAACTGCAGCATGGCAGTGTGGGGCCATGGCATGCCCAGGGGCAGATCTGGCTGCATGGCAAGAAGAATGCCGTGGTGCCCCAAAGCTGGGCAACCAGAGCATACACTGCTAAAGCTTTGCTGTCACTCAGAGAGATAGGCAAGCATGCAGCAGGAGAACCTGAGAAATGGCTGTCCAGCATGCTCCCTTTAAGCACATCTCAGATAGCCGTAGGCAACAGCACCGGAAAGCAACTGCTGACCTAATGCCCTGTCTGAACTGGTTCTGTGTGGCCCATTATGCGAGATAGCGTCCAATCTGTGTGGATGCTATCTTTCGAAATTGCAAATCGCTATTTTGTTGCGCTTTTTGTGTGTGGACTCTCTCTTTCGAAATAAGCTTTTCTGGAAGATCTCTTCTACAAAAGCTTATTCCGTATGAAGCTTGCAGTCTAGACATTGCCTTAGTTTGTGATGTAGACAAGAGGTACAACTTAGTTTGTAATGCTAGCAAGAAGCAAGACCTTACAGCAAACGTTGTCCAATCATGCGAGACAATGTGAAATAGAAGCACACGAAACTTATAAGGCATTATACATCATAACTATTCTTATACCAATACTAAAATATACATTTTGGCTACTGATATAACAATGGATTTTGTTATTCAAGTACTTCATAGTATTATAGGCTGAAAGAGACCTCAGGAGGTCATCAAGTCCAGCTCTCTGCCCAATGCAGGACCAATCCCAACTTCCAGTCAACTTGAATAGTCCCTCCAGAAGACGTTGGCAAAACTGCCATCTCTTAATATTTTCCAAATGCAGAATGAAATCACAGTCAAGGAGCGATGGTGGACATTTTAATTCTTAGTGAATAAGCTCCACACAAGAAGTTTCCTCAGTGCAACTTTGATCTCCTTGTTCCTAATGCTGTAAATGACCGGATTCAGCATTGGAGGCAACACAGCATAGAGCACACCGACTGTGAGATCTAGATTTGTTGCTGAGCTGGAGGTGGGTTTCAAGTACTCAAAGAAGCCAGTAGAAAGTAGCAAAGAGACTACAGTGAGGTGGGGGAGGCAAGTGGAGAAGGCTTTATGCCGGCCCTGCTTAGAGGGGATTCTCAACACCGCTTTGAAGATCTGAACATAAGACACAAGGATATAAACAAAGCAATTAAAAGTTAAAAACAAACCAAAGCCAATAACCCCAACTTCACTGAGGTAGGAGTCAGAGCAGGCCAGCTTGAGGAGCTGTGGGATTTCACAGAAGAACTGGTTGAGGATGTTGGACTGGCAGAAGGGTAATCTGAAGGTGTTCCCGGTGTTCAGGGAAGAGAAGACAATACATGTGATCCAGGCACTGCCTGCCATCCGGACACATGCTCCCCTGTTCATGACTCTCTCGTAGTGCAGCGGGTGGCAGATGGCCACATATCTGTCATAGGCCATGATGGTGAGTAAAGCAAGATCAGCCTATGTGAAGACGAAAAAGAGAAAAACTTGCATGACACAGGCAGGATAGGAAATCAAGCTGGTGTTCAGGAGGGAGTTGGCCATGGATTTGGGGATGGTGACAGAGATGGAGCCAAGGTCTATAACAGACAGATTCACCAGGAAGAAGTACATGGGGGTGTGAAGATGGCGGTCAAGGGCTACGGCTGAGATGATGAGAAGATTCCCCACCAGGACGGCCAGATAAAGCATCAGGAACACCACAAAGTGCAGAATCTGCAGCTCCCGCATGTCAGAGGAACCCCGGAGCAGGAACTCGGTCACGGCGCTTCCATTGGACATTGTCTTCCTCAGTTCACAGCGTGGTGGCTGCGGAGGGAAAGGCACAGACAGGGGAGGGGATTAGAATGAAATGTAGAATGGCCCTGATTCCCTTCTGTCATGCTGTGGGATGGTGGCTGCGGAAGGAAAGGCACAGACAGGGTTGGGGATTAGAGTGAAATGTAGAATGGCCCTGATTCCCTTCTGTCATGCTGTGGGTGTCCATGAAGCCCAGCGCCCATTCCAGCTACTCCCTAGGGGCGGTGAGTTACCACACAAGCTGCATCCATCTGAACCATCTAAAGATTGAGCTCAGGATGTGGCTGGACACAACGCTGTGTGACGGATGGAGCTCTAGCTGAGATGGATCCCCTTTCCATGAACAGCTCGCTCTTGGCTACGAGCATGAATCTAAAATAATAAAGTCCCAGCAGGGCCTGAAAACCACTTTCCCGGGAAATGTGACACCCAGTGTTTCAATATCCTGCAGGGCAGCTCCTCTATCATGTTCCACTGCAATACTGCATGGACGTCTTGCCGCCTCTGTATTGATTTACGAGACAGAATCCCACTTCTTACTGGCTAGTAACACCAGTCAGCGACTTCTCTATTGTGTCATTGCCTCTCATTTCATGCAAGTGCAGTTGCCTGGTGTTCAGGAGATTAGGGATGCATTCTTGGCTCCGCCACTCAACAATGTCCTTCAGATTTATGGGGGCCTACACAGTCCTATTAGGCTGGTGCCCACTTTGAAGTTAACTAGATCCTCTCCAGAAGAAATAGGACCATCGAAGAAGGGTAGGAGGAGTCAGGTAGGTGGACACTACGAACCCACAGTGCCCCAAGTTTGTGGGTACCCTAAGTAACTTTGTATTCTGTTGTGGGACTTTGGACTAGTCACGTACCCTCCCTCTAATTGTTCCCCCTCCCGTTCTCTGCTTTTTCTGCAGGCACTGTGAGCTGTGTGACGGTTGTCCAGTGTCTTATGTGTATGTTCTCTGCCCCTATGTACAGCATCTGTAGTTAGCCGGCAGCAGTAGAGAGGCATATGACGCTAAAGCCAAATATCTAGGTACTAATCTTACTCCTCTGTGTCCTTGGACATAGTCAAAAGAGACTGTTGATGGGGGCTTCAATTCACTGTACCCCATCTAAGGCATTGATATGTTTAATATCAGTGCTATGGGCTACCAACTAGTCTGCTGTCTCAGTCTTATCATTTAACAAGTATACCCTAAGATGCAAATCAGGGATAATCAGGCATTTACTGTTTAAATATTTTCAAAGAAACACTGAGTTTTGAAGATGAGAAATCTTCCGTGGAAGAGTTTTACTGCTGAAAGACAACCTGTGTACTGGGAATTTCAAAACTTTAGTTTTCCTTAATTTGGCTGAAAATGTTTCCCTTTCCCACAATTTACCTAAAATTGTCTGGTTCTTCATCAACAAAAACAAAAGTTTGGTTTTCATAATTTCTATGACAGGTCAACTTTTTGCTTCTGGGAGGGGGAAAAAACCTCCAACTAGCTAGAAATATTTCACTAAATACAGATAACAATTCTACTTGTCGCTCCCACTTCCATTATGAAAGCTGCCCAGGACTTTGACACCTAACCCCATTGGATTGAAATAACAGACTTACCGTGCCGGGCGTTGCGGGATGCTGCACCAGACACGTCACTGGCGGGATTCTGCTGTCACTGCCTGTCTGTGTAAATAATGCTCCATCACTGGGCTATCCAACAGCTGTTTCCCTGCTCCACTCAAGTATTTTGGGCAGGCTTGGCCAAGAGGTGAATAATGCTCCATCACTGCGCTATCCAACAGCTGTTTCCCTGTTCCACCCAAGTATTTTGGGCAGGCTTGGCCAAGAGGTGAAGACCTAAACAGGATGGGGGCAGAAAGATCCCAACTCCCAGTTGTGAAATTGCTCCTGGCTTGTCCAGGCTGCAAACATGGTCACAGCTCAGGCTGTCCCTGCTCTGGGCTGAGGAGCTGAACCCGGTCTCCAGGCCTGTGAACCCAGCTCAGATGTCACCTCTAGAGCAAACTGCCACCTTCCTCTAGCTGAGCCTGACCCCGAGAGGGGAACATGAGGTGCCCCGGCCTCACACTGTGGCAGCATCCCTGGAAAGAGCCTGGCTACCCACAAGGAAGGGCTGAGGAGCAGTGGGAAGCAGATTGCAGAAGAAGCTATTTATTGGTAGCACAGACATGCGACAGAGAACAGCCCAGAGCTGACGTGCACCAGGGCCCCAGCTGGCCTGGGACCGCCTGCTCCTTCATTAACCCCACACAAGCTACTCTGGGAGGGCAGAGATTTTTTTTGTCTCCTGTGCTGCATCAGCAACTCTTGGGATGCAGCCACCAGGGCATCCTGCAGATCAGGCTGTCCCGGGTCTTCGATTTTGGTCACTAAGAAGCAGCCGGAGCGAAACTGGAGTGGAACGAGGTGTACAGCTAGTGTACAGCTAGTTCGGATTAGGAAGCCTAATCCGAACTAGCTACTCCGTGCCGCGTGTAGCCGCGTGGCACGGGGTTCGAACTAGCCGGCATTTAAAAATGGTGCCGGCCAGCTTCATGCAAATGAAGCCCGGGAAATTCAAGTCCCGGGCTTCATTTGCAATTGCGGATGACTACATTACCCCCGTTAGTTCGAACTAGCGGGGTAGTGTAGACATACCCAGGGAGAACAGAGATTTTTGAGTGTGTCTGGTATCTATAGATGAGAAATCTCCCACAGAGGCAAGGGGAGCAGATGCCATATTCCTCCAAGGCTGGGAGGTTCCTGGTGACCACTCCTCAGAGGAAACAAAGAGGGAGGCGGTTGCTTCTCAGGGAGACAGAGGGACTCATCTACCTGTGTGCCCTGGCTTCCCAGGTGGTTCACTGCTAGCCAATCCAAGACATTACAAAAGGATTGTTAAGAATCATCTGGCCCTCTGACCAATACCCCGTGCTGCTCACTCATATGGGCATTAATGGCACTGCGAGGTATGACTCTGAGCAGATCAGGAGTGACTACCCAGAAGGGATGGAGCCATGAGTACAGGTAGTATTCTTTTCCATCCTTCCGGTGAAGAGTAGGATCCCAGGCAGAGACAAACACATACTGGAGGGGAATGCCCAGACGTATTACCAGAAAGGCTTCAATTTCCTCCTTCATGGGATGTTGTTGGAAGAAAAAAGGCTGCCGAGTCTAATGTGTGAGTCTGCCTTTAAATTAAGCTTGATGGATACAGGAAACGAAATCCCACAGGCAGTCCAGAACACAAAGACTGGGGAGAAGGATGGAAATATAGGGGCAAACATGGGACATCACAGCATGAAGAAAGAAGACAGGAGAGGGAAGAGAAAAGGGAAATCCAACAGACATCTCAGGTGTGTGTCCCATACGAAAAGGGACTGGGGAATGAAACAGAACTTGAAATACAAGGGAGAAGATCAGCGTTGTGCCTCCAATCCTTTGACGTGTTTGGAGCATATTCACCAAACTTCCCAGCCATCCACACTAGAACCAGGTGATTCCATGTGAACAGCCCCAGAAGAAATAAAGATCTGGAAGAACCAGCCCAGAAGTGTGTGGGGGAGACTAATTTCATCTCCCATGTGGGTACATCTAGACTTCAGGCTTCTTTCAGAAGAGGCTTTTTTTGGAAGAGATCTTCCAAAAAAAACTCTTCCGAAAGAGAGCATCCAAACTGCAAATTTCATCGAAAAAGCAATCTGCTTTTTCAAAAGAGAGTGTCCAGACTGAATAGATGCTCTCTCGCATGTAACCTGTGATTGCTATGGATGGAATGACAAAAAGGGCACCTGTGGCCTTTACTCTTTCATCTTCTTCCCAAAGGACTTCCTCTTTCCTGTCCACACATGCCTTTTTGTGAAAGAGCTCTTTCGCAAAAAGGCTTCTTCCTCGTAGAATGAGGATTACCAATTGCGGAAAAACCCTTCTGTTCTTTTGATTTCCTTGTGGAGGAACGCAATTGCTTTGTGGACGAACTCAAAAGTTCATCGAAAAAGCAATCTGCTTTTTCAAAAGAGAGTGTCCAGACTGAATAGATGCTCTCTCGCATGTAACCTGTGATTGCTATGGATGGAATGACAAAAAGGGCACCTGTGGCATTTACTCTTTCATCTTCTTCCCAAAGAACTCCCTCTTTCCTGTCCACACATGCCTTTTTGTGAAAGAGCTCTTTCGCAAAAAGGCTTCTTCCTCGTAGAATGAGGATTACCAATTGCGGAAAAACCCTTCTGTTCTTTTGATTTCCTTGTGGAGGAACGCAATTGCTTTGTGGACGTTCTTCAAGTTTTCTTGGTGCCCTAGAAAGGAATTCAATTATCTTGATTTGCACCGAGGCCTTCACTGAATTAATGTGCCTAACTCCCATGGGACTTGGCTCTTTTTTATGCCACTGGCCTGCTTCACGACTTTGGGCAATAGCCAGTACTTATGAACTATATATCTAATTTCAACAGGCCCGGTTTAATATCGCATCCATATGCCTAACCTCTCCCCCCACAAAAAAAGGCTTAACCCTACATTTAACCGTAGGCCTTTGGTAGTTCTTCTCTCATATTTTGAGTTAAGCATTGGCTTATGAACTTTTTTGCAATTTACTACACTATTTATTCATTTTAAAAAAAGGGAGTACACACACTTATAAAAGGATCTAGTTGCCTTAACACATCAAGAACATAAAAACATAACAGCCACACTGGGGTAAGACCAAATGTCCATCTAGCCCAATGTCCAGTCTTCCAACAATAGCCAACACTAGTTTCCCCAGTGGGAATGAACAGAACAGGGAATTAGGAATGTGAGAAAATGTGTAATTGAATACTCATGTAACCACATCAAATTTTAATGGCTAGGTTACCGCTCCTGGCCCCACTCTCAAGGCGTCCCCTGCCAACGCGGGGAGGCAGGCGAGAGCTGGGTCGCATGAGGAGTGTGGTTTAAAAACCAGCTCCCTGCACACAGAGGCCACTCCATGGGATACAATAAAATCCCATTGATATTAAAAGAATCATTTGAACAGGAACTCAGTTGTCCAGACACATAGACTCATAGAATACTAGGACTGGAAGGGACCTCGAGAGGTCATCGAGTCCAGTCCCCTGCCCTCATGGCAGGACCAAATACTGTCTAGAACATCCCTGAAAGACATTTATCTAACCTACTCTTAAATATCTCCAGAGATGGGGATTCCACAACCTCTCTGGGCAATTTATTCCAGTGTTTGATCACCCTGAGAGTTAGGAACTTTTTCCTAATGTCCAACCTAAACCTCCCTTGCTGCAGTTTAAGCCCATTGCTTCTTGTTCCATCCTCAGAGGCCAAGGTGAACAAGTTTTCTCCCTCCTCCTTATGACACCCTTTTAGATATCTGAAAACTGCTATCATGTCCCCCCTCAATCTTCTCTTTTCCAAACTAAACAAACCCAATTCCTTCAGCCTTCCCTCATAGGTCATGTTCTCTAGATCTTTAATCATTCTCGTTGCTCTTCTCTGGACCCTCTCCAATTTTTCCACATCTTTCTTGAAATGCGGTGCCAAGAACTGGACACAATACTCCAATACTCCACAATACTGGACACCTACAGAAACTTTCTTTAATTCTTCATCAATGGGGAAAGTGAAAGCCTCATTTGTTCAAAAAAGTTATCTGAAGATATTATGACATGGATACCTTAAATAGATGAAACCACCCCCAAAAATATTACCTCGATTCAGTCAAAGATACCCCCCCATGCAATTTCCTACCTCCTCAAAGTCACCTGGAATAAAGAAACAAGTTAACCCAAGAATCAATAAAATGAAACACAATTAAAAATAAACCATCAAGCAAACACATCCTCATACTCAAACCCCAATTTTTAACCTGAAAAAGCAGAAGTGGTAGAGACTGCATGAAGTCCATTAGTGACTTTCCTGTGGTTGTGGATATTCTCTGTAACAGACTCAGAGAGCACAGTGAAATTTGCATTATAAATTCCTAAGGCAAATAGATTGGTGTGTTGAAAGATTTATGGATAGATACTTAGATTCTGATTTTATCTAAATTGGTGTAATTCTAAAATAACTCATTTAACAACAGTGGAGTTAATCTTCATTCCATACAAAGATTGCGGCCCAAGTTCTTACAGAGATAATTTTGCCATTGGTTGATTATATTTATAAAGAAGTTCAGAATGAAATTACAGTGAAGGAGTGACGAGGGAAATTTTAATATTTGGTGAAGTTGGTGAATAAACTTCACACCGTCAGTTTCTTCAGTGCAGCTTTGATCTCCTTGTTCCTCATGCTGTAGATGACCGGATTCAGCATTGGAGGAACCATGGCATAGAGAACACCCATCATGAGATCCAGCCTGGAGGAACCACGGCATAGAGAACACCCATCATGAGATCCAGCCCAGATGCTGATCTGGAGTTGGGTTTCAGATACTCAACGAAACCAGTGCAAAGGAATAAAGAGACCACAATGAGGTGGGGGAGGCAGGTGGAGAAGGCTTTATGCTGTCCCTGCTCCGAGGGGATTCTCAGCACTGATTTGAAGATCTGAACATAAGACACAATGATCAAAACAAAGCAATTTAAAACAAAAAAGGCACTAAAGGCAAGAAGCCCAAGTTCACTGAGGTAGGAGTTAGAGCAGGCCAACTTGAGGAGCTGGGGGATTTCACAGAAGAACTGGTTGAGAACGTTGGAGTGGCAGAAGGGTAACCTGAAGGTGTTCCCCGTGTGCAGGGCAGAGTAGACAAAACCAGTAATCCAGGCGCTGGTGGCCATGTGGACACAAGCTCCCCAGTTCATCACTCGCTCATAATGCAGCGGGTGGCAGATGGCGACGTATCGGTCATACGCCATGACGGTGAGAAGAGCAAGATCAGTTGAAGCGAAGAGTAAATAGAGAAGGACTTGGGCGACACAGGCAGGATAGGAAATCACCCTGGTGTCCAGGAGGGAGTTGGCCATGGATTTGGGGACGATGACAGAGATGGAGCCAAGGTCTAGGATGGACAGATTGCCCAGGAAGAAGTACATGGGGGTGTGAAGACGGCGGTCGAGGGCAATGGCTAAGATGATGAGAAGATTCCCCATCAGGGTCGCCAGGTAAAGCACCAGGAACACCACAAAGTGCAGAATCTGCAGCTCCCGGATGTCAGAGAAGCCCAGGAGCAGGAACTCGGTCACGGTGCTTTGGTTGGACATTTTCTTCCTCAGTTCACGGTGTGGTGGCTGTGGAGGGAAGGGCACAGAGAGTGGGGGGGGATTAGCGTGATACATGGAATGGCCCTGATTCCCTTCAGGAATCTGTCATGATGTGTGTGGCCATGATGCGCAGTGCCTGTAAGGACTGTTGAGTTACCGCACGGGTGTCAATCGGCCTGGCGCCCGTACAGTCCATGCAGCTGCATGTGTTTGCACCATCTGAACACTGGGCTCACGATGAGGCTGGGTAGAACGCTGTGCGAAAGCTGAAGCAATTCGCAATCCCAACACTACAGCTGTATCCAAGACGGATCCCTTCTTGCTACAAAGGGGAGGCCCTGGACACGGGCATGAAACTAAAATGCTAAGATACCTGAAAACCACTTTCTGGGGACATATGACACACAGGGATTCAGAATCCTGCATGGAAGCTCATCTGTTCTACTCCATTGCCGCACCACATGGACATCCTGCTGCCTATGTCCTGTTTTATAACACAGGATCCCGCTTCCATTGGTCTGTACTGAGGGGCTAGTAACACCACTCAGCGCCTCTCTGCTGGGTACCTGCCTCTGTCCCTCCATGCCTGTGCAGCCCTGTGTCTGTCAGGAGATCTGGGAGCTAGTCTTCTCTCTGCTACTCGGCAACAGCCTTAGGTTTTATGGAGCCCTGTGCAATCCTGTTAAGCTGGTGGCAGCCTGGGGAAGGGGAATGGTGATTTTTTTAGAGTTGTGATTTTATGATCTTCACCAACACACTTAATAGAGAAGCACTGGGTGACCCAGGAGCGGATGGAATAAAAAGGAACTGCTTTATTGCCCAGGCACGTTTCCCTCGGACATTCAACACAGTGTCCGAGTAGCAACAACCTGGTGCCAATCACACCCTATTATCTATTTTAGTATGTTAATGTACGCTTCTATCACTACTAACCTTATTTAAAAACGTTAACCCCTACACAATGAATATTATTCAGATGAATACAATTATACCCGCCCCTAATTACTATTTCCAGAATTTCTAATTGAGTCTCCACTACAAACTTTTTAAATCAGCATGTTACAGAGTTTACAGGAAATTTAACCATGAAGATATTTTACACAGTACCAATGAGGATAAGCAAAAGACAGAACAGAATAAAGCAACTCCCTACTTACCTGGTTTCTTAGGCTACAAGAACGAAGAGAAAGAACGTGTTTGTACATCAGAAAGAATAATACCGGTTTTGACTGGATTCTTAATCTATCTTCCCAAAAAACAAAAGAAAAGAGCCTGTTTAAAGGGTAATGCCGTTGCTGACCCCTGAACCACTAATGTAGAGCAATTTCAGATCCCTATTAATATTTTTCCATATCCCAACAACACTAATAACATGTTTTTCAAGCAGATTTTAAACTAAGGTGCTGTTGACTAACACAAAAAATTGAGAAGCAGACAGTCGACATCCAGGGCTGGCAAACGCCTGTTAAATGGCTGATTGCCCCTTGAATGGCAATTGCAGATTCACATTTCTGCTAATAGCTGTGGCAGGCTTCTTCACTTGTATATTAGCCAGATCTCTCAGGAGAAGCAGAACCACAGAACAGGGCTAGGAAGAGCCATATAGATGGTACTAAGGTCCAGCAGTGCCCCAAATTTTTGGGAGCCCTAAGCAACGTTGTTTTCTGGGTAAGGATGGCCATGCTGTCCCTGACCTGTTTTGTGATTCTGTGTATGGGTAAGGATGGCCATGCTGTCCCTGACCTGTTTTGGGACTGTGATGCTGCGTAGGGGTTTGTGCTGTTGACTTTGGGCTGGTCATGTCTCCTCTCTGTAATTCTTTTCCCCTCCCATTCTCTGCCTTTTCTGCTGGGATTGTGATGCTGCGTAGGGGTTTGTGCTGTGTCTTATGCGTGTTTGGTGCCCCAATTCTCAGCTTTTGTAGTTAGTGGGTAGCAGTGGAGAGGCATATGATGCTAGAGCCAAATATCTACGTGCCAATGTTATTGACTTCCTCTATGTGCTTGGGTAGAGTTACAAGAGACAGGCAATTGACGTAGCTCAAATTGTGTAACTTATTTTGGCTTTAGCCCTGCTGTTTAGATGTGCCCAAATAGTTTAATACCTGTGCTGAGTGCTATAAACTTTGCTGCTTGCTCATTTGTACCATTTAACAAGTATCCCTTTGAAGTAGACATTGTACACATTGCAACAGAGTGCTGGGGTCAGATATTACTATTATTGGTTTATACTAATGCTCCCACTCAGTTTGAATCTAAGATGCCAGTCTGGGATAATCAGACATTTTCTGTTTAAATTATGTCAAAGAATCACTGGGGTTTCAACTCAGGAAGCCGTGTGGTCAAATTTGTTTTTTCTGAAAGACAACCTGTGTACTGCCAAACTGAGAATATTAGTTTTCGTTCATGTAGCTGAAAACGTTTCACTTTCCAGCAATTTACCTGACATTGTCTGGTTCTTAATGAACAAAAACAAAATCAAGTTTGGTTTTCACAGTTTCATTGACAAGTTTGTTGGGTGGGGAAAAAGCCCTTGCCGCAGCTGGAAATGTCTCCATAAATACAGATAACAAGTTGTGAAGAGTTCTCCAGGTCAATCCCAGTTCCATTAGGAAATCTGTCCAGGACGTTAACACCATAACCTGTTTGATGGAAATAACAAACTCACCGTCCTCAGCTTTGCAGAATGTTTCCCAGCATGGGTTGCACCAGACACTTCATTGGCGGGATTCTGCCATCATTGCCTGTGTAAGTGAATAATGCTCCACCACTGGATTATCCAAAAGCTGTTTCCCTGCTCCACCCCTGTACTTCAGGCAGGCTTGGCCAAGAGGTGAAGGTCTAAAGAGGATGGGGGCAGAAAGCTCCCAACTCCCAGCTGTGAAACTGATTCCAGCTTGTCCAGGCTGCAAACATGGTCTCAACTCCGGATGTCCCAGCTCCGGGGCTGAGTAGCTGAACCCAGAATCCAGGCCAGTGAGCCCAGCTCTGATCTCACCTGCTGACCAATCTGTCTTGTCACCCTGCCCTAGCTGAGCCTGACGCCCAGACAGGATCTGTCCCGGACCTCCCACAATGGCAGCATCCCTGGCTACTCTCAAGGCAGAGCTGAGGGAAGGAGGTGGCAGAAGAAGCTATTTATTGGCTGCATCACCGTGTCAATGAGAACAGCCCAGAGCTGCTGTGCACCAGAGCCCCAGCTGGCCTGGCACAGCCTGGTCCTTCATGGACCCCATAAGATGCTCTGGGAAAGCAGAGATGTTTTGTCTCCTGTGTTGCAGCAGCAGCTCTTGGGATGCAGCCACCAAGGGAACTTGCAGCTCAGGCTACCCCGTGTGTTTGATTCTGCCAGTAAGAAGCAGCCAGAGGGAAACTCAGTGCAACATCCTAAGCTGATGTCAGTTGATGCAGTCTCCTTGAACTCTGAGAAATTAGGGCTTCTCAAGGGGTGATGTGTCCCTTTGGTTTTTAGGGAGCTGCTTTGATTGACACCAGCTGGTGATCTGTCCCATTCTTTGGCTCTAATCTCTATTCTTTGCATGTGAAACTGAACTGGAGAGGAGAGCTTTTTGCCACATGGGATTAATTGTTGAGTGTAACTTGTAATGGCTAAGGAGCGATTCATTCCCACTGGGGACTGAACTTTGCAGAAACTCAGTGTGGCTAAATTTTTCTGTAGCTTATTTCACTTTCAGTTGAGATAAATCAACCATCTTCCTTCCTTCCTTCCTTCCTTCCTGCCTACCTATCTACCTACCTACGTACCTACCAACCAACCAACCAACCAATTCTGTTTCCTCTTACTGTGGACAACACTGACCTAAAAGACTCATTAGGCTGTAGATGCAATAGGACATGACGTCCTAAAACTGATTGATTCACATTGGTGGTAGGTATGTCACACATTCTGAATGTATCATAAGAACATAGAACATAAGAATGGCCGTACTGTGTCAGACCAAAGGTCCATCTAGCCCAGTGTCCTGTCTGCAAACAGTGGCCAGTGCCAGTTGCCCCAGAGGGGGTGGACTAAAGACAATGATCAAGCGATTTGTCTCCTGCCATCCCTCTCCAGCCTTTGACAAACAGAGGCCAGAGGCACCATTCCTCACCCCTAGGCTAATAGCCTTTTATGGACCTACCTTCCATGAATTTATCTAGCTCTTTTTTAAACTCTGTGATAGTCCTAGCCTTCACAGCCTCCTCTGGCAAGGAGTTCCACAGGTTGACTGTGCGATGTGTGAAGAAGAACTTTCACTTATTAGTCTTAAACCTGCTACCCATTAATTTAATTTGGTGTCCTCTAGTCCTTATATTATGGGAACTAATGAATAACTTTTCTTTATTCACCCTCTCCACACCACTCATGATTTTATAGACCTCTATCCTATCCCCCCTCAGTCTCCTCTTTTCTAAACTGAAAAGTCCCAGTCTCTTTAGCCTCTCTTCATAACTGACCCGTTCCAAACCCCTCATCATTTTAGTTGCCCTTTTCTGGCCATCTCCTTGGATGCCTTTGCCCATCCCAGAGATGTCATCATTCCCCTTTATTCGGCTTTGGTGAGGCTACATCTGGAGTATTGTGTCCAGTTCTGGGCCCCCCACTACAAAAAGGATGTGGACACATTGGAGAGGGTCCAGCGGAGGGCAACCAAAATGATTAGGGGGCTGGAGCATATGACTTATGAGGACTGAAGGACTTGGGTCTGTTTAGTCTGAAGAAGCGAAGAGTGAGGGGGGATTTGAGAGCAGCCTTCAACTTCCTGAAGGGAGGTTCCAAAGAGGCTGGAGAGAGGCTGTTCTCAGTAGTGACAGATGGCAGAACAAGGAGCAATGGGCTCAAGTTGTGGTGGGAGAGGTCCAGGTTTGATATTAGGAAAAACTATTTCACTAGGAGGGTGGTGAAGCACTGGAATGGGTTCCCTAGGGAAGTAGTGGAGTCTCCATCCCTAGCGTTGTTTAAGTCTCGGCTTGACAAAGCCCTGGCCAGGTTGATTTAGTTGGGATTGGTCCTGCCTAGAGCAGGGGGCTGGACTTGATGACCTTCTGAGGTCTCTTCCAGTTCTATGATTCTATGATCCCAGGCCTCTTGTCTGACACAGCAATGAGCTCTGGAAAGTCAGCTGATGTCCACTGCATGGCATCAAGAGATGGAGAAACCAGCACTTCCCTGGGTAGTTTGAAGGAAATGGGTGCAGTGAAGGGAAGTGAATCAACCACCAGGCCACTCTTGTGAGTCTGTAGCATAGCGCACATGCAGATGGGGCTGTGCTGAGGTTGTACAAGTAACCTTCACTCTGGTGTTTCCTAACATGGAATGGCCTGTTCTCCACGTAGATCTTCGTACTTACAGAACTGGTTGGGGCCAGTTTATATTTCTCGATTTCTTCCTGCCTCAAGACTTGTCCTTGCACTTTAGTGCATGCAGTTCTAGAGTCATTATAGTGCCAACAGTGCCTGACGTAGCGCATTCCCTTCACTATACCTGTGTAAAGACCTTTTATACTGAAATGACTGTGTCCATGTAAGGGGTTTGTGTTGTTTGCACCACACAAGTGGTGCTCCAGCTGTCCAGCTTTCTAGTGTAAACAATCACTAAAAACATTGCATTGAAAAAAAAGGCCAGGCGCTCGTTAGGAGGAGAGAGAGATTGCCTTCCCCTATGGCAACTGGCACCCAGATACTCGGGTGATGGGCACCAAGGGAAAACACACCTAAACAGCTGACATAGTGAATGTGAATGGCCAAATATCAGGTAAGGGGCTGCTGGGTCATTTCAGGAGAGGCTGGGTCCAGGCTCTGTCTGGGATCTCAATTGACAGCAAAGAGCTCAGGGAAGGCACTAGATTGTCCATTAAGGACCTGGCCCTGATCAAAGGCCGTCAGGACTGCATGGCAAGGATGGGCTCTGGGGGACTGGAGCTCTCTCTGGCTGCAGGGGCAGAGAACCCACAGCCTGTACTACTCCCCACACTGACAGAGGAGAAAAGGGAGAGATTCAGCCGCAAGTGCAGCTGATCTGCATTGAGACTCTGCGGGTGGGTGGCGAAGGCTTCCTCCCCAGTGGCCCAATGGATGGCTCATGTCACTGGTGGGGTTCACTGTCAGAGAGTTTCCCTGCCCCACCTCCTGGTGAGGCCTCCCCAAATGAGAGTCTGAGAGGAGCCCCAGTGGGAAAAAGGGAAAACAAACCATGTAAATCCCAGTTTTCCCAGTGATTCTAAGGGACACAGGCCTGTGTGGGGAGAAACATCGCCCCCTTCAAATGAGTGTTTTTCCAGACTTGTATTTGGCTCCCACGATTTAGCTGTCGGCCTCCAATGGGATCATCTCTCGCACTTAACAGCTAAGCGCTGGCGTATGCATGTTGTGACATGAATAGCTTAGTTTGGAATCTTCTAGAGGGAGGTTTTCAATTCAGATGTTGGGTGCACAACCAGGATTTAATGTACAATTAAACCAGTAACACTAATAATGGAACCAACGTCTGTGATCTGGACAAAATTGGAACTTTGCATGGAGGAGGGACCATTGGCCAACTCCCCGTCGAACCTTTGAAGCGAATGGCTAAATCCAATGGGGCTTGGTTCTAAGGTTAGAAGAACGACTGCTCTGGTCTCTGAGTGCCCACCCCTTGTCTTGGTCTTGAGCCGGTCCCTCTCTTAGCGCAGAAAATGTGATTCTCCCTCTCAAAATGGGTCCCAAACATGCTATAGAAATGTGTGCACCAAACATCATTTCTCCCACTGTGCTTAGTACCTGTAGGTCTTCCCACAGGAGCTGTAACCAATAGTCAGTCTACTGTAGGAAGAAAATTACCATAAGAGAAAATACGAGCAATTCCAGATCAATCACTGCAGTCGTTTTGTAGAGTACAAATCTGGTTTAATGACATACACACGATTTGTTTTCAGGAAACTGCAATGGTTTTATTTTCTAAAATAGTTTTCCCCCACATCAAGAAAAATACATTACTTATTTATAGAAGTCACCTGGAATAAAGAAACATGTCAACCAATGAATCCATAAATTGAAATCAAAGTAAAAAGTAACAATCAAAGAAACACACTCTCATACTGAAGTCCCCAAAAGGAGAAAAGTCAGAGACTTCATGAAGTCCTCCAGTGAATTTGCTGTGGTTGTTGATAACAGGCTCAGCTAGCATGGTGAGATTTGCGATGTAAATCCCTTACACGTTTGTGCAGGAATATGTGTTCTTGATCTTATAACACACTTGGTTAGGTCCAATAATGGTATCAGCAGAGTGAATATGTGGACAAAGCTGGCAACGAGGTTTGTTGCAAGGGAAGGTACCAGGGTAGGTATTAACCTCAAGATGATTCTTACCAACAACCACAGGTCATACCACACTAATACCAACCCTGGTACCTTCCCTTGCAACAAACCTCGTTGCCAGCTTTGTCCACATATTCACTCTGCTGATACCATTATTGGACCTAACCAAGTGTGTTATAAGATCAAGAACACATATTCCTGCACAAACGTGTAAGGGATTTACATCGCAAATCTCACCATGCTAGCTGAGCCTGTTATCAACAACCACAGCAAATTCACTGGAGGACTTCATGAAGTCTCTGACTTTTCTCCTTTTGGGGACTTCAGTATGAGAGTGTGTTTCTTTGATTGTTACTTTTTACTTTGATTTCAATTTATGGATTCATTGGTTGACATGTTTCTTTATTCCAGGTGACTTCTATAAATAAGTAATGTATTTTTCTTGATGTGGGGGAAAACTATTTTAGAAAATAAAACCATTGCAGTTTCCTGAAAACAAATCGTGTGTATGTCATTAAACCAGATTTGTACTCTACAAAACGACTGCAGTGATTGATCTGGAATTGCTCGTATTTTCTCTTATGGTAATTTTCTTCCTACAGTAGACTGACTATTGGTTACAGCTCCTGTGGGAAGACCTACAGGTACTAAGCACAGTGGGAGAAATGATGTTTGGTGCACACATTTCTATAGCATGTTTGGGACCCATTTTGAGAGGGAGAATCACATTTTCTGCGCTAAGAGAGGGACCGGCTCAAGACCAAGACAAGGGGTGGGCTAGATAGGTGTGTGGGTAGATTTCTGAACATATATAGATTTTTATCTTCTTCATAAAGCTGTAATTCTAAATTAACTCAGTTAATATGAGTGCAGTTGGTCTTGATTTTATGACTTCATAAAAGGGTTACATCCCATGTTCTCAAAGACATAACTTTGTTATCAGTTGATGAAAGTTATAAAGACATACAAAATAAAATCACAGTCAAGGAGCAGAGCTGGACATTTTTAATTTTTGGCGAATATCTTCCATATAATCAGGTTCTTCAAGGTGGCTCTGATCTCCTTGTTCCTCATGATAAGTAAGCTCAGAATGAAATCACAGATAAAGTACAATAATGGACATTTTAATTCTTGGAGACTGACTTCCGCACAATCAGTTTCTTCAGTGAAGCCTTAATCTCCTTGTTCCTCATGCTGTAGATGACTGGATTCATCATGGGAGGCACCACGGAGTAGAGAACACCCACCACCAGATCCAGATTTGATGTTGAGCTGGAGATGGGTTTCACATAGGCATAGGAAGCAGTGCAAGTAAACAAAGAGACCACAGCGAGGTGGGGGAGGCAGGTGGAGAAGGCTTTGTGCCGGCCCTGCTCCGAGGGGATTCTCAACACTGCTTTGAAGATCTGAACATATGACACAATGATAAAAACAAAGTAGCTTAATGCCAAAAACACACTAAAGGCAAGAACCCCAACTTTACTTAGGTACGAATCAGAGCAGGCCAGTTTGAGTAATGGGGGGATTTCACAGAAGAACTGGTCAATGACGTTGGACTGGCAGAAGGGGAACCGGAAGGTGTTCCCGGTGTGCATGGCAGAGTAGAGAATGCTAGTAATCCAGGCACCGACTCCCATTTGCACACAAGCTCTTCTGCTCATCACTCGCTCGTAGTGCAGCGGGTGGCAGATGGCGACGTATCGGTCGTAGGCCATGACGGTGAGCAAGGAAAGATCAGCTGCAGCAAAGACTAAAAAGAAAAAGACTTGGGAGACACAGGCAGGAAAAGAAATCGACCTGGTGTGCATGAGAGTGTTGACCATGGATTTGGGGACGGTGACAGAGATGGAGCCGAGGTCTAGGATGGACAGATTCACCAGGAAGAAGTACATGGGGGTGTGCAGGCGATGGTCGAGGGCGATGGCTGTGATGATGAGAAGATTCCCCAACAACGCGGCCAGGTACACCACCAGGAACACCACAACGTGCAAAATCTGCAGCTCCCGGACGTCAGAGAACCCCAGGAGAAGGAACTTGGTCACGGTGGTTCGGTTGGACATTTTCTTCCTCAGCACATCCTGTGAGGTCTGTGAAAGGAAGGATAAAAACAATGGTGAAGACTATGAGAGAGAGGAAATGACCCTGAACCCTCTCAATAATATCTCAAATAGTAACAAATGGCCTAGTAGCACTTTATAGACTAACAAAACATGTAGCTAGGATCATGAGCTTTCGTGGGCACAGCCCACTTCTTCGGATATTTCGTTAGTCTATAAAGTGCTACCAGACAATTTGTTGTTTTGTGTTTTTCTGTAACAGACTAATTCGGCTATCCCCTGAAGCTTCAGATCTCAAATAGCAGGTGTTACAGATTCACAGCACTCATTCCAGCCATGTGCCAGGAGTGGTGTGTTAACCCCTGAGTGTTTGCACCTTCTGGAGATGTGACCCAAGACGTGCCTTAACAAAACACATTAGGAAGGGTGGAACAAAGGACAGGCAAAAACAACCATTAAGCCAAGATAGTTCCCCACTTCTGCACCAGACAGCAGGGCTGCCAACTTGTGGATGGAGCTGAAACACTCCAATTCGAACGTAGACTGATTTCCACTTTCCAAGTAAGACATAACATAGACTCACAAAGCAAATGAGAGAAGACGGAAAGAATTGGTCTTGTTTAGTTTGGAAAGGAGAAGACTGAGAGGGGACATGATATCAGCTTTCAAGAACCTACAAGGGTGTTATACTTAGGCTAGGTCTACACTGCTGCTTTTTCCAATACTTTTGTTGGAAGAGGCTGTTCCGAAATTTGGCCCATCTAGAGTAGGCCAAATTTCAGAAAAAAAAACCTCTTTCGGAACCCCCCTTCTTCCTTGTGGAATGAGACCTATAGGAGCTTCTGAGAGAGCGCATTTGCTTTTCCACAAAAAAAAAAGCAGAAGAGCAAACGCATTTTCTAGATGTGGCGGAGTTTGGTGGAATACCTCCAGTGCCCTGGAAACACCCCACCATGCAATAGACGTTTAGGTTGGACATGAGGAAAAACTTCCTACCTGTCAGAGTGGTTAAACACTGGAATAAGTTGCCTAGGGAGGTTGTGGAATCTCCATCACTGGAGATACTTAAGAGCATGTTGGACTGACACCTGTCAAGGATGATCTGGACCAGCAGTTTTAAAACATTTTTTCTCGTGACCCAACTGAACAAAATTCTTAATGCCGCCACCCTATGTAATTTGACTAGAATGTAGGCTAAGGGGGGGGGGGCTGAGGATGGAGCTTTGGGGTGCAGGAGGAGGCTCCAGCTTTGGAGGGATCAGGGCTGGGGCAGGAGGGGCTGACCAGGAGGTGCTCCCAGTTAGCGGTGCAGTGGGGAGCGTGGGACAATTCTGGCAGGAAGCCATCTTAGCCCACCCACTGGACACCTGATCCCTTGCAGCCACGAGACCCAGGGCCCGACTTCCCACCCCCCAGTACTGGGTCATGACCATACATTTGGAAACCACTGCTCTAGATCGTGCTGGGTCTATGAGGGGAAGGGACTGGAGTCTATGGCCTCTCGAGGTCCCTGCCAGTCCTAGGGTTCTACGGTTCTATGATTTTATCCCGCAGGATGCCTCAATTGTAAGGATTCCTCTTACACGGGCGGCTTGCTGTCTGCTTACACAGGCAGCCACATCCCAGCTGAATTTCCATCTCTGTGTGGTGAAGGGTGAATAGCATCACTCAGCCACTTCTAGCCACAGTACTTCCCTCTGACTTAGTGACTTTGTGCTTCAGTGGCCATGAGAATATTGGTCTCTGGTTTTCCTTCTGCCAGGACCGGCTGTTGGACCGTGGGGCAGTCCTGGCCCCTGCTCATGCCTCAGTTTTCCCTCCTTCATTTCTCCACCTTCTCAACTTAAGTTGTAAAGTCTCCGGAGCCTAGCTTGTGTCAGTATAGCTATGTCCTGTCCACCTGTTAAGAGCATTTCTATTTAGCAGTCATCAGAGGGTATGGTGCTAGGGCAGGGTACCTGGGGACTAGACATGTTGCCCTCATAAAATCATAGAATCCTATGGTGGGAAGTGAGTTCAGGAGGTTGCCTAGTCCAACCCCCTGCCCAAAGCAGGACGAGCCCCAGCTAAATCATGTCCTTGGGCACACACAGGCTCTGACTTGGGACTTCAAGTCTGCACAGTACACCAAACTCGAAATAAGATAACCATTGGCGCTCCACAAATTTTTCTTTTTTTCAACACAAATTCCATGTGAAGGTCTCAGTTTCTACCCACCGTTGTTTGGTTCCTGATTACTTTAAAAAAGGGCTCCATGAAAATAATGTTTTTCTTCCGGGAAAAAGAAAGCCCAGAAGCTCTGGAAGTTTCAATAATAGTGACTCCCTCCAGTTTTAATACCTCCCAGCTCCAGCATCACATTTCTCCAGTACGCTAACACCCGGGTGGAAATAATTGAGATAAGAAACGTACCACGCTGGTTGTAATGGAAAGATTCCCGGCTCATGATGCGTAGGACACTCTATTGCCGGTGTTCTTCAATTCTTGTCTATCAATAGACCTGCCGACCTGAATGATCAATCTTCCATTTCCCTGCCCTCTCCCCATTATTACCTGCCTTGTGGATCTCTCTGCAGACAGGGACTCACTCCACAGAAGGACGCTCTCTGTTCCCTCCTCGGGCAGGCTGAGCCAAGAGGTGAAGGACTAAATGGTGTGCAAGACAGAAAATCCCAACCCAACTTGTCCAGGATTCGGCATGTCCCTGATGTGGAATTAAGCAGCTGAATCCAGCTGGCAGGACTGGGCGCTCCGATGAGCACACTGCCCTGACAACCTGCCCTAGCTCTCCCCAACCTGCCCGAAGGGTCCTTCATTAACCCCACACACTTCACACTGGGAGGGCAGAGATTTTTTGAGTCTCCTATGTTGCATCAGCAGCTACTGAAAGGCGGCCCCCAGAGGATTCCAGACCTCAGGCTGGTCCAGGTGTACCCAGTCTGCAAGAGACTAATTACAAGAGTGCAACTTTTAATGGTTAAGCAGCAATTCATTCTGACAGGGGACAGATCTTTGGAAGATTCCAGGGTTGCTAAGATAACTTGCATCTGACTTTCCACTACTGTTGGATGAATGATACAGCCAACTCTCTTTCTTTCTTTCTTTCTTTCTTTCTTTCTTTCTTTCTTTCTTTCTTTCTTTCTTTCTTTCTTTCTTTCTTTCTTTCTTTCTTTCTTTCTTTCTTTCTTTCTTTCTTTCTTTCTTTCTTTCTTTCTTTCTTTCTTTCTTTCTTTCTTTCTTTCTTTCTTTCTTTCTTTCTTTCTTTCTTTCTTTCTTTCTTTCTTTCTTTCTTTCTTTCTTTCTTTCTTTCTTTCTTTCTTTCTTTCTTTCTTTCTTTCTTTCTTTCTTTCTTTCTTTCTTTCTTTCTTTCTTTCTTTCTTTCTTTCTTTCTTTCTTTCTTTCTTTCTTTCTTTCTTTCTTTCTTTCTTTCTTTCTTTCTTTCTTTCTTTCTTTCTTTCTTTCTTTCTTTCTTTCTTTCTTTCTTTCTTTCTTTCTTTCTTTCTTTCTTTCTTTCTTTCTTTCTTTCTTTCTTTCTTTCTTTCTTTCTTTCTTTCTTTCTTTCTTTCTTTCTTTCTTTCTTTCTTTCTTTCTTTCTTTCTTTCTTTCTTTCTTTCTTTCTTTCTTTCTTTCTTTCTTAGCAATTCTGTGTTCTTCCTTGAAACAACAACATTAAAATCAAAGGCTCTTCAGGCTGCTGGCGCAATGCTGCCAGGTTGGAAGTCCCCAAGTAAGGGCAAAAGTGTTAAAATACAAGGCTGTGTCTAGACTCCAGGGTTTTTTTGTTTTTTTTGAAAAAGTGGCCTTTTTTCGAAAAAAACTTCCCCTGCGTCTAGACTGCTGCCAAAAGTTAATCAAAAGAACGCAGCATTTTTTTTTTGACCACGGAAAACCTCGTTTTACCATCCCAGTGCTTCCCCACCCTCCTAGGGAAATAGTTTTTCTTAATATCCAACCTAGACCTCCCCCACTGCAACTTGAGCCCATTGCTCCTTGTTCTGCCATTTGCCCCCACTGAGAACAGCCTCTCTCCACCGTCTTTGAGGTAGCTGAAGGCTGCTATAAGATCCCCCCTCAGTCTTCTCTTCTATAGACTAAATAAGCCCAAATCCCTCAGCCTCTCCTCATAAGTCATGTGCTCCAGCCCCCTAAACATTTCTGTTCTCCTCTGCTGCACCCTCTCCAATACGTCCACATTCTTTCTGTAGTGAGGGCCCCAGAACTGGACGCAATATTCCAGGTGCGGCCTCCCCAGTGCCAAATAAAGGGGAATAATCACTTCCCTAGCTCTGCGCCTCTTAATGCACCCCAATATGCCATTCGCCTGCCTGGCTACAAGGACACCCTGTTGACTCATATGCAGCTTCTCATCCACTGTCATCCCCAAGTCCATGTCTCCTAGGAAACAGACAATTGCTGCAGTGAAGTCTGGCCCTGACCCCGGCCTGACCATAGCTTGCTCCCGAATTCTCCACCTGTTGCAGGCTGGGCGAGGACCTGCGTAAGGCCAATATGTTGTGTCCACATCCACCGGGGAGGCCCGGGGGAAGCAGGCAGGCTCAGACATCCCCTTATCCAGATCATTAATGAAGATGTTGATTAAAACCAGTTCTAGAACCAGTCCTTGGGGCACTCCACTTGAAACTGACTGCCCACCAGACTATCCGTTGGGCCCCTCAATCTAGCCAGTTTTCTGTCCACCTTACAGTCCATTTATCCAATTCATACTTCCTTAAGGGTATGTTTGCACTACAAAGTTAATTTGAAATAACAACAGCGTCTACAATAGTGTCTACTCAGGCAAACCACTATTTCAAAATAAATTCGAAATAGTGGAGCCCTTATTTCGTAAACATTCTATGAGGAGTAACACCAAATTCAAAGTAGCTATTTCGAATTAAGTGCTGTGTAGATACTTAATTCGAAATAGGGGGCCTCCAGCTCTTCCCAGGGAGCCCTGGTGACCACTCTGGGCACACCCAGGAAAACTTACTTTCCTCTCCTGC